GTAACTGATTTTAGTATTCTATGATGGAGGTGAATGAGAAAGCGTGCAATTTCCTCTCATAATCACCATAGGATAAAATTAACATTTATTATTAATATGATTAAGTTTTGTCATTTTATATGTTCGTTAAACAACCTGACTTCTTTTACTTTTCTTGTGATAAGAAATACAATCAATAAACAACTAAATCTATTCTCATATAAATAGTTTTCTAAGCAAAAAAAAAGAGAGAAAAATACACACTAAACATGTATATTTATCATTTAACCTTTTCATCAACTTCATTGCATAAATAAATCAGTAGTAATTGGAGATAATTTTCATTGAATTATTTTCTTATTACTTCTTTGATTCTCTTTGATAAGTGAACTGTGTAGTTTCTATGTTTGAATAGTTTCTTTTTCAATGTATGATTTAAATTTCTTTTTTTTTTAAAAAAAAATAAAAGTTCTGTCATATCCTACTTTTTCATTTTAAATTTATATATTATTTCAACATAAAAATGATGAAATGTAACTAGTTATAAGATCTAAGATGCGTTGTATCTTGTCTTTTTCTAAAACGAATTAGTTGTGTTGACTTAAATCTTAGAGTTGATATTCACTTCAGGTATTGAATCGAGGATATCTTTCACTTCCACTTATCAACATAGAATATGTAGGTAACATTAGTACTTTTTGGTGAAGATGATGAAAAAAATGAAGAGTTTGTGAATACCTTTAAATAACAATCCTAGAACATTTCAAAATATGTTTCACTCTCTACAAATGCAAAGTTATGCTCCAGGAACGGTCTACATCAATGATTGAACTAGAGGTATGAAGTGAAGTAGTTGAATGCATTTGATCACTTAACTTATCTTGAAAGTCATATCAACCCTGATGAGTTTGTTTGATGAAATGTTGATAAGCCTTTCCTAACTTTCGTCATTTGTGAAGTGAAATGACCGTCTTCCAACCATTAGCAAGTGTAATGTACTGCAGTTCACTTTGTGTTACTTTATAACTAAGAAATATAGTCATTGAAAACAAACTTACTTGTCGTCATCCATAACATGAATTCGACTTATTTTCGTATTGACCTTATTGATTTCATATTGCTGTGCTAATGTGGTGATCACTGACTAACTGACGAAATTATCAAGACGAGTACGAAATTAATAGAAACAGTTGGATTATTAGTGATAATAAAAATAATTAGAGTTTGAGAATAATCTGAAAATTAGCCTTAAAAGTAAATGAATGAGCATCGGTGTAACTGATTCGGAATCTTCGCTTAAGAAATTGTTGGTTTAGAAATTGTGATTCACTTACAATAATGTATGAGACATGCTAATTGACCAGTAAGGTCATATCAGTGGTTTCTTCTAACGGTTCAATTTTAATCTTATCATCTCTAATAGTTATTTACAGCTCGATAGTCATGATGACTTTGTAACTTGAAACTGAGCCAGTAAATACACATCAATCGATCAACATGCATGTTGTGTTAGCAAATACCATTTAATTATGAATCTGACTCATTCTATTGAAATAAAAATAAATACAAAGGTGTATCGTTGGATGATTTGTGTGTGCATATATATATACATATATATGTATGTATGCATATGTTCAGATTAAAGACAATGATTTATTATTATCAGTGATAAATTTACGACTTGGAGTATTTTGCATATGAGATTTTTTTCATATTGGATAATTAAATGTTTAAAAATTGTAGCGTTGGCTTTGTGACACTTTTTCATTCATCATTAATGACTCATCTACAGTTCGAAAAGATTATTGATTAAGATATTGAATATTGAAAATAAAGTAAAATCTTTTCTAGCAGTATTAGACATTTACTATTTCAATTAGTGAATAATGTAGTGTCATCTGAATTTCATTAGTTCGTGTGATGGTCAGTGTCTCACCAGTTTTGTGACGATCGGTATTTGATATATTCTTAGACTTCGTATACTGCTCATCCTCAGAACCGTTAGTAAATAACGCCCAACGATGAATAAATCAAAAGACAAATACGAAGTGTTGAGTGCGTTTAGTGTTGCACCACAAACAGATTACCAAAACCATAGGCACATGAAGTAAAATGATGTGTGGATGCTGAAAGGCAAGCAAACGAGTGAGTGAATGAGTAAATTGGTTTAAAATGTATATGATATACATAGGAAAATGAATGAGTTATGGAATTGTTTACGAGTCTGATATCAAAGCGAATAGAATGAATATGCGCGTAGTCGGTAAACAACATTCAATCATACCTGCTCATTTCAGCGTCACAATAATAAGATCATAATGGTACAGATACGTTATTGCTATGCGAATGACTCAGTCTGTTAAATAAGTTAATAAAAATCGGCTTAAGCAAATTAAATGCGAACAAACTGAAATGTATGCAAAGGCATTACATTCTGTTTTGTGTGTTGTAAGATTGCACAATCAATCGATCAATCAATGTTCAGTGATGCATCAAATCATGTAAGTTGATGAGCAAAACTAATTGTAAACTAAATGTCTAGAAATTATTTTTGCTAAATAGAACAATCAGTTCCCGATTACTATTATCTCATCCAGGAGAACAGACATAAAACTAGATAGAAACAGTTACCTTTAGCATTTTTATTCTACTCCCAGCTATTTCCAATCCTTGATAAGAACTATCTTTGGATTGAATAACGTTTCATGAGTGCATAACTTCACGCATCAATCATTTCTGGTGGAATCCTAGAACTTTTCATAACAAAGCTAAACAATGTGGATACAATCATGTCCAAATTGAATCACATTTAAACTGTATCATATGAATTTTTTCAGCGATCAACTGGCATGTTTGATAAACGAATCATTCGTTTTATTGAAATAAATTTCACTATTAAACAAGGAAGAATACAATTGTTAAGATTACTCTATATAAAATGATTACATGTAGAAAAACATCCGTTATTCAAATGATACATATTATCTATGTATGGATAATTTTCAGTATAATTTAATTTGACATGATTTTTCATTATACCGTTATTGATATTTTGACGGAAATTTGATCAGTTTTAGTTGACTATTTGATCTAAACCATTTATTTCCAATTAAATTAAATATCATATCTATTGTATAATTGAAATGGTTATCTTGACTCAGTAGCTAAGTAGTCGATAATGCAATGGCATTCGAAGCTAACGTACCGAGTGCCGGAGTGAACATCATCTCTGAGATGCAAATAAATCTGTCTGACAAGTCTCAAATGGCATGAAACACTTGTTCTGAACACATTCTATCTATTCTACAAAGATGTTGCAATCAAATATTCTTCTTCTTAATAAAAACTAAACGTGTTAAAACATGAAATAATGAAATGAATATGTGTGAGTAAAATCATAACTTTACAAAATATTTCAATGTATTCACAATAATTTTTTATCTCAGTGAATGAATATTTGTTTTTATTTATTTTTCTGTTCATCTAAACAGTAAACTTGTGTGTGTTTTTGTATATGTGTGGTTATGTATGCAACAAATGAAATATGATCGTTTTTAATGTACTACTGAATAATTTAAGAAATATAGTAGTATGAACTGGCTATTAAATCATTTGATATCTTTTAACTTGAATATAAAATGTATATAGAGAATGAAGAATATGCATGAGAAATTATTGTCATTCTGATAAATTATTTCTTTCATCTATTTATGCATAAATTCAATTTATTTATAGAATTTTTTTTTCAACTATTGTTTATTTCTTTTTATTTTATTTTATCATCACGAAATCATTGATTTATGAGTTGTTGTTGTTGTTTTTTTTCTTTCTTTCTTGTTGTTTTATTTATTTATTATTTATCTGTTGTATTCAATAGACAAATAAAATAAATAAGGCAATAATTAATTTATCATCATTATTATCTTCATTATTCTAATAATAGTTAAAATAAAATAATACTAATCATACTAATCAAAAATGTATTCGCAATAAAAGTTCATCTATCATATAATATGTCCATAATTCAGTGAGAAAATAAACATTTTGAGTCATTTGATTTCATCAATCATTGATTACATTGAAAGACAATCAATATTTAGATGTGTACAGAGATTTTGCCTGTTTTCTTCAAAAATATAATTTAAATCACAAAATGATTTTAGTGAAAAAAAATCATTAGAAAGCTGTAAGCAATTTCATCCTAATATCGAACTCTTCACTAGTACATATCCATGAACTCATATTCTAGAGTCTAACTGGAAACCTTTGATGTTTCACATAAATGCTTATTATATACAGAGTTCGTGAGATCATGAGCGAACATAAATAATGGATGCACTCTCTCCATTGCAAACAATTTTGAGCCATGTCGTTCAAAACCTTTAACAATCGGTTACTATTGTCTCGCGGACCTCAACCAGATAGTCTATACCTACCAGCATGGCTCAGTCCAGTTGTCATTGACTTCATAGATTTTTGCCATGTTTCGGTTAGGTGAATTCATCCATTCTTAGTGTTATTTCATATTTTCTATTCTTTTCTTTTCAACTATTACTTCTATCCTTTGTTTTACATTACAGTAAATTATAATTATTCCTTAAGAAAAATTCTCTTTTGTCTGACTAACTTTAAATGTATGAACACTGATTAATTTATAAGAGAAATTATTGATTATAAAAATAAGAAAATTGTCACCTGTTTTGCAGTCCATCAAACAGCACACCTAAAATAATAATAATAATAATAATAATAAACTAGTCAACTACATTGTATTCACTTTATTATTATTATTTAAACATTGAAATTTACTTGATCACATATTGATATTTAATAGAAAAAACCATAATGCACCACTATTTTAAGTAATAAATATGTGATAGAATTGATATTGTTGTAAAACTAACACTAATCATTGTAATCATCGTAAACAATCAATGAAATTAAACTGTCTCATTTCGAATTCATTCATGGCCTAATCTGTTTTTTTTATTTTTTTTTTCATTTATTTTTCTATCTTCTAGATTATTGCACATGATCGTGATCAAGCTGCTAAATTAACTTATGAATTGAGTAATGAAGGTAAACAATATTTCACTATTGATTCTATAACTGGTATAATCACTACATTAGCAAATGATGAAAAAGATGAAAATGGTCATTTATACAGTTCTAGTTTATTGGATCGTGAAAAAACAGAAAAAATCACTTTTACAGTATGTGTCACTGATGGTACACCAATGAATAGTTGTGGTCTAATCGATTTAGATCATCATTCCATAATTCATAAAGAGGGGGAAATAAAAGAAAAGTATTTACAACCAACAATGGATACTGTTCATCATGATAGCATTCATCCAATATTCACAGCTTCTGCTACTGTATTTGTCACAATTTTAGATGTTAATGACAATCAACCACAGTTTATAACAAAAGGACCTTTTTCAATTCTTGAAAATCAACCACGATTTACTCAGATTAATGGACGTCTTACAGCACTCGATGCAGATGCAGGAGAAAATGGACATGTAAATTATTTTAATTTTTATTTTATTCTTCGTTTTGTCTACTTTTTTAAAATTATTTTTACCAACTGACTCAAATTTTGATAGATCAATTTGAATTCTAGGCAAGTCAGTTTTGTTGTTGTTGTTGTTGAACGGATGAGTTCTTCTGACAGTTTCTTCCATATGACCATCTGTTCAATGATATTACTCGAGTATACTGAAAGTTTTTTTTCTGTATTGATCAACTTTAAATTCTTTTGCAGTTTTTCAGAAATTTCATAAGGGCTCCATGAACCCAAACATTGGATTAGAAGGTACATTTAACTGATGAATGCCAAAATAATCGAGACATATATATTCTAGATTCCTTTGCTAGTAACAATCTAAAAATTTACTCATCGATCGATGAATACATATCACTGTGTTGCTGGTTGTGAAGATGGTTAAGTCACACTGAGATCATGAATCAATCTTAGTTGGACAACTTCACCTTATTGTGGTACTTCTTAGAAGATGACAACAATGATCGCTCAACAGGGAATCGTAATCAATGGAATTCAATCCATTTCGGGTGTCATACTCACCACAGGCAATCAACGAGTGTTATGTAATATCGTGAATTCTTTGAGGTTAGATATTAACGTCGTTAAATGACGCCGACTCATTTAGGTTAAGCATTTGTGTGAGAGTTCAAAAGTCTCACCTTTGATTCTCAGGTATGCGTTCGTAGATATGTACTATGGAGAAGTCCGATACTAGGACATAACAGCCATTCAATACTTTTGTATTATCAATGGTTGTTTAACTAAAATCCGTTTGTTATGATATGTAATTAAAAAAGCATGTGGAAAGAAAGAAATAATGTTCATTTCACTGAAACAATTCTACAATCAATTTCAAAGTGTTCCAGTCACTAAGTTACATGAAAAAATAGTGTAAATCCTCATACATTTCTGCATATTTTTTCTTCTACATTCAAAATGTCCACCGACCGACACAATACGCACAAGTTTCAACTTGCATACATCTATTTTTTAAATAAACCCAGTGTTAAAGCAATGCATACACACAAACATTATACTATTGATCTGTGTTCAGTCGGAAAATGATTCCTTTTTAAAATCTACCTCGAAATTTTACTGATCATAAAAACTAAAAATTATTTGGCATAATCTTACTAATGTTCTTACAACCAATCTTAATGTGACATGGAACATTAGAAAGTTTGAATAATTAGTCACAAAACTGTAAGTGGTATGGTGATACTACTGATAATAAAAATAAAATAATAATAATAATAATAACAATAATAATAACACTCGAATTTAAAATCTATAAAATGTTACTATGAAATCGCTGTCACCTTTTATCCTGAATAATAACAATATCTGATTTTACACTGAAATTGTCATAGCACTAAACAGACAAAGTCAAGTTCACCATCATCATTGTGTATTTGAAATGACACTACATAAATAATAAGAGATTTCTTAGCTATAACTTGGAATGTTTTCATAACGGTTTTTTCACTGTTACTTAACTATTCACCGTTGAGTTATTAATTTAGGTGATGAAAAAGCTATGGCCAACAGTGGTATTCAGGATTTGCGTTTCATCCTATAAATGAAACTCGTCAGTTTTATGTATCTGTATTTCTGGATTAATGTTCACTATGGGATTCAAATCCAGTATCTTTCGTTCCAAATACCCAACGTGTTATTCATTTAGCTATTAAGCTCAGATAGCCACTTATGTGTAGAAAAGTTATTCTACAAAAAATTGTGATATGACTATATTCAGACAATCTCTGTAAAATCTACATGTACCAAATAAGTCCAGTCTACTCTACATAATCGAGTAGAGATTTATTTAGTCAGTTTTTAGCCAAATTTTACACATCAAAGCTACTGACTGACACTAACTGGTTTTCAAAAATGACCTCGAACGAGAAACCTACTAATTGAAAGTTGATTATTTTACTTGTAAATAGCCATCATTCAGCCTAAATAATATTTGTATATCTTGTACAAAATATTTTTCTCTGAAATAATCTAATTTTACAATTTCGAATAGCATTCTACATACAGCATATTAAATAACGCTTTAATTCAAAATTGAAATAGCTACTCAAAAACTAGTTTTGTTATTGATTGGTTCTGTACAACTAGACTAATCTGTTAGATCAAATGTACCCGTAACAATTCAAATCGTTTTTGCCCTACGCTTATCATTTTGTATTCAGTATAAATATACCAATATATATATAGGTATATATATTATATACCTGCTTATTCTTGCTTTCATAAACTGTATATTCGTAGAATTATTTTTTTTCTCTAAAGAAAAAACCAATAGGTATTTATGAATACCGTCATCTTGAAAAGTATACAACATAAAATACCTCCCTTTTTTCATGCAACAATGTTTCATAATTTACTGAGAATATGAATAATTAATGCCGACAAATGAATTCATTACAGTTGTAGTTAATTTATTTACGGGAATTATTTTAAAAATAAGAAAAAAAAACACACAATTAAATAAGGACAGAATCAATAATTTTAGTTGGACATTTGGCGCCGTTTTTCACAACAATTTCTTAATATTAGCAATAGCCTATGTATCTTTTTTATTCTGATTTGTTTGTTAATATCATTTTAATTTTCATTGATCTCATTTTTATTCTTAGATTTTGATTGTTATCAATGATTTGGTATGAACAATAAAATTTTTTATCGGTCAATTTTAAGTACATAAACATTAGTACAAAAGAACATCTAAGTGATTATACACCACACGAATCATTGAATTTGTGTGTGGGCTGGGATACTACCCGGGTACCCTGACCGAAGTAGGTGGTTTTCTCAAATGGGTACTCACCGAGATTTTCACCTACAGGTCTATTCCACGAAACAGTGGAACCATGTTGGGAAATGCGGTCTTATGATTGTCGGTTACCAGCATTAATTTTATTAAGTCTATTCAAAATCGTGGAGCCCAAGCACACAAATTGTTTGAAATCAGGGTTTTCTAACATCTATAGGCGGATTATTTGTACCCATCAACCTGGATTAAGCACCGGACATTCACTTTCGTCCTTTGAATTTGGTAAACAACGCTATCACTAACAAGAGGCAAACATTAGGACTACCTTGATAGTGAATATATAATTTTGGCCATAGTAGGGCATTTTAAGAGGGAGAGCAGATCGCTCATCCGTACCAGGGCTGTTGGGGAACTACAGAGTGTTCAAACACAATAGACTATAAAAATCTTGACCTTATCACATGTTTCAACCAAGTTGATCAATAACAGTAATAATTAGCAATCTATTATTGTAAAATAAAGAAAGACTCTTACCTTTGACCTATCTCACGACATTGTTAGAAAAAGTAAATATAATAGGGTAAAAGTATCTCACCGTAAACTATAATGGTATATGGTTAGTACTCAATCATCATTTTCTAATCTATGGATAAAGCTGACATAATCTAATCACTTATATGACTGTAAAATTTGTAGAAAATGAGGATTGGTCGTCCGGATTTCTTCTAACGAATTATTAATTGGATAAATATTGAACGGATTTTCACTGTTAATTACTTACTGATTTCAAATGTTTCTCATTCCTGTGTAGTTGCCTATTTCCAGAGAGTCACTCAAATGATCTAATTGGGTAAAGAGTAAGAAGAGTCCGTTATCCCGCTCTCATTTGGCCTTCCACATGTAGTCACTACCAATCAAGTCCAAATCGGTCGGTTCGAAATGCCTACTCATTGGAGTTGGAAAACCATTATTCCCAAACAATGGTGCAAATTGGCTAAACGATCATGAGATGGGAAATGGAGTATAAACTTATTGTGTTAGTGACTACCATGAGATTACATCTCTTGAAGTTACTCTACTTCCTTGTGGATTAGACTTGTCGATCAAATATTCGGGGTGTAGCCTTATGATAAATAAACCCACTTCGGTTTGGACTACCGAGTAGTATCGCAGCCAAGTCATAAATTTAATAATTTGTGTGACTCATACATATTTCTGTGCCAGTTTGTTTCAATGTTTATGTGTTTAAATAAAATAAAATAAAATTTAACGTATAATGACAACTTATAATGTATAACTATTAATTCTACTGGTGTGCGTTTAGCCTCTAAAATACTTAGTTACAATCCAATGCTGTTCGCGTCGAACCTCAATTACTTTGTTGTATAGTATGAATACCCATTGCTTAAGATGGTTGACTATCCTCCATCCACCGTGCTTAGACTCCTTTAGATATGGCTTCTGATTAGGACTTCTGGAACTACATCTTGAAGTCGATTACCAATGGTTCGTGATGATTATAGCTATGAGAGTTTTGCGGAAATTCTTACTTTGAGGATGCCACAAAACCAAACGTTTTGGGCTCGACTCCCCCTAGGGTCCTGGAAGACTACTATTGATGAATATCTTACTAGGATAAAACAACTGTGGTACTTCCTAGCTTTAAATATTTTTCTAACAAAGATCATGGGTCGATCAATGTTAGACCACCATTAGAATCCTGGAAGCAACTGACGGCCATTTCGTTCTAGTATTGGAGTCATCATCAGTACAGGCTGGAGTCGTAGACTAATTGAAGTTAGCTATTAACACTTTTGGATACCATCAACTCAGTTGTTATAAGGTTAATCTTTAGTGCGCGCGACTGAAGTTCTTGAGTTTATGCCTTTAGGGTCGTGGATGCGCATTATTGATGAACGCCATACTTATATAAAACGGCCGTCCAGTGCCTCCAGGTTTCTAATGGTACTCTAAAATTGATCTGTTCATGATTTCAGTGAAACTTAGAAACTTCCACAACCCTGTGTTTCATAATTGTAGATTTGTCTTTTATGGTGACTTAACCTACAATATCTTACGTTTAAGTCACATCATTGTCTATACAGACATTAAGACTTCTTAATAACACATTAAGGCTGAGGATAGAATGATATATATTATATGAAAAGCATTCGTTTGAACAGAGTGACCAGCACCATGTTTGACTAAGCCATACCGTCTTGATGATTTGTTCCGGCTTTCATCATTTCTTGTCTTCTCCAATACTTAACGCCTAATGCCAAATCCTTTCACTTTTTGTGTTTGGCTTCGAAGATTGTGTGTGTTCATGGAACTAATGCCACTTGATTACCATTGTCTCATTCTTTTATTAAAAGAATTATTGTCTGAATTAACAGAAAACTACTCTAAGATATACAGTAAAAATGCAGTTTATTTATTTAATTAGATGCAAATGAATGAATCTAATGTGTTAGAATATATTAAAAAAAGACATGAAAAAGAACAGTTTGTAGTATTTATGCAAATGAATTCATCATTCGTGTTTGTTTGTCCATTGATATTGTGTCTTTTATCTGTTTGATTTGTATTCATGAATATTGTATATATATATATATATATATATATATATATATATATATATATATATATATATATATATGCTTTATGGTAACTCTACTCATCACAATAATCACATCCGGATAGTTGTTATTCTGTGCATAAGTTTTATATATTATTTAACGAAATACAACTCTGTACCACAGCATGCATGAAGATTAATTTTCAAATGATTACTTTTATAATCATTGTGATTATTAAATAGAAGAGAATAAATGACCTTTTGACCTATACTTTCTTTCTCATACTCTATGCCTATTCTTTTTCCTTTTTTTTTACTTTTTGACAGACATCTCTTCTATTTTCCAATAGTTTAAATGCTTTTTAATCATTTATTTACTGTCACCACTCTCTTATGTTTTCTCTTTTTTTCACCCCTTCGATTTCTCTCTCTCTCTCTCTTTCGTTTGTCTTGCTGACTGGCTTCCATATAATTTCTTGTGACACGCCTATATATATGTCACATTGTTATAACAAATGACCCTTCTTACGTTGTCTATTTGTTTTTCTCTTCATTCTATCCTAATTGTGTCTGTTATGTGACCCTAGAAGAAGATAGAAATTTTTTTTTTAGAATAACAACCAAAACAAATGGTTACCCCTTATGGCGGCTATGTATTCTCATCAGGTTTATTGTCTGCTTTGCCCGCTGAGTTTTTTTTTTCTATTCTGCCTATATTTGTATACTTCTATTCTATTAGGGTGAACAGTTGTTGCATTTCTACGCTTTTTCGTCACTGTGTCTAGTTGAAATTGTCATTTTGCATTTTAATAATTATTAACAAATAGATTATCAATTATTTTTAAATGTCTACATGGTTCGAGTAAAACGGAGTTACTTCAGTAACGATGTTTGTCTTAAGTTTATATATATATATATATATATATATATATATATATATATATTTGCTTGTATATGACTGTAGATTTGTAGACAATCTTCTTCAGCATAGCAACTAACATGTCGATTATTCGTGCAAATTCAACTCTTTTTTTCGTTTTTTTTCAATATACAACATCGTCAATAATATATGTAGATATTGTGTAGTGTCAAATTTCCTTAAAGAGAATAAGGGTAACAATTTAACACTATGAATAACAATGGACTATTATCAATAAGGTTTAATTTAACCGTTCACTATAGCGGTTCACATATAGCCAAAAGGTACTGTGTGTACTAGGATAGCATGCAGAGTAGTATAAGTATAGAGAACTGGAACAATTTAAAAAATTTATATAAAATGTTTTTTACATTCAACAAGAATAGCAATCAATAACAACCAGTGCTCACGCAAGCTTTAGATTCATTGAATCTGGAATGTGAAACTAGGAGTTGATAGAGTGAAGATTTCGAATTGTTACATCACTTATGTTCAAGTTCCTTCATAACAAGTCATTTATATTCAGTTGTAACTGTTGAAGTTTCTTGGCATATCTATTGATATATTGAACAATACTTAGCGATAACTAGTTTTTCAACTTTAGTTAATATAACTTTTAGTGTCGTTTTTACAAATCAATTAAATCAACCATTTTATTTTCAAATTTTTCATGTTACATAACAAAAATTTTCATTCAGCCTACTCAAACTTCTAAGACACCAATTTTTCAAACCTGCATTTATTGTTTTCACAGTCACAATTTATCGTTAATCATTACAATTATTCACTTCAATTATGGAATGGAATTTTTTTTTGTATATTAAATGAATAATGAAAAAATCTTATAGTGTTTCTCTTTAATTAAACTAATTAAGGTAATTACAAGCGAGAAAATGTTTTATTTTTTCTAGTATTCTAAAATTATTTTATTATTAAAAAAGGAATATTTTTTTTTTATTTTTTGTATAATAGGTACGATATAGTCTCCGTAATATTTGGATTAGTGCAACTGGTATTCCATCACCTGATGTATTTGAAGTTGACTCTGAAGGTCAAATCAGAACAATGGAAATATTGGATCGTGAACAAATCAATGCGTATACATTAGAAATTGTTGCCTGTGATTCAGCATCACTTAATCCATTATGTACAGAATTAAATGTGACAGTGACAGTTTTAGACGAGAATGATAATAAACCAGAATGGCATTATCCTCATCCACGTGATAAAGAAGTTAATATTACATCAGATTTACCATCAGGTAGAATAGTTGCTCGTATATTAGCTATGGATTTAGATATTGGTGAAAATGGACAAGTAGTCTATTCATTAATTGATCCACATAGACGTACTGTATTTCAAGTAAGATTTTATATGTTTATATTCATATATTTATATTATTCTGTGATTATTTATGTATGTATCAGAGGAATATGTATAGATATAAAGAAAAAATTATTTTAATAAATATCCTCAAATATATTGTGAAGATTGTTCAGTTACTTTTGAAATGATGAACCAATCAATGTTAGATTAGCATTAGAAACCTCGAAGCATTGAGTGACCGTTTTGTCCAATGCAAGACAGGATGTCCTGGGTTCGATTCTTGCGAGTAGCAAAAGTCTTGGATGTTCACTTCTGATGATTCCCATTCTGATAGTTGAATTTATGTTTTCTAAATGTATCTGTAAACATTTTCATACATTAGAAGCGAATATTTAGAAATCCTGTTCAAAGAAATGAATGAATATGTCGACTAATCAAATTTAATTATATTTAAATGTATAAAACAGAAAAATTATTATATCAGTTAATAATCGAAGCAGTTTTACATCACCAACTATATTGTACTTATAGTGTGTAAATTCTAAAATTCAATTTTTTTTCAAGTAATAAATTTAAAAAATTTTACTCGATTTTATAAATATTTAACTTTAAAAACTCTATGATAAAATACCAGATGAAATATGACTTTTTTTTAAAAAGACATAATAGTTTAATTTATAGTGAATCACAAAGACTATTACATTCACTAAATTTATCATTATGATTTAAATGTCAACAGAATCAATGTGTATTATTTTCATTATAAACAATCAAAATGGTTTCTTTACAGATATTTAAAATTTTTACATAAATTCATACAGAAGTGATTGATGAATATTTTAATTAAGTTAAAATATAATACAAAATATCTTGTAAAATATTTTTTTTAAACTATTTGTTTTTCATAACTTTGTATATAAGACATAATTAATTGTACTATTAAGATATCTGATAATATTATAGTCGTTGATTTAGAAAAAAAAATTTCTAACTTTTCATTTCTGTTCCATTGCATTTATTTCCATTATCATAATGTCTAATGTGAATTTGAAGCAAAGGTTAAAAATATTTACATTTAATAGTTGTCAAGTTATCATTCAATCATTAAACTAATTCATTTGTATCTCTGAATAAATAAAATAAAAAAATTTAATACAGAGAATCTAACGAAGAAAATTTACTTTCTAAAATAAATCATCCGCTTAAGTTGTATAGTCATGTTTTTCTATCTGTAGAAAGATAGAATAGATTACATCATACAGTGATGCACAATTTCAAATATCAAAATAAAGTTACATAATATCTCTTATCTTTCTATAAACTTATATCATTATCAGAACAAAGTTGGTTGAGAAAAATGCTAGTCGACAGCCTATGCTCCACTAGGGGATAACAGGCGTAAGTAATGTAATAAATACGAATGTATAGCTTAGGTGAACCATTTCATCGAGAAGTAAATTTTTTTCATTGCATTCCGTCAATATTAATCTCCTTTAAACTTAGAAAAAAACAACTTCAAAAAAAAATTATTATTAATTATTTGATATCTCTTATCAGATTGACAATGTTACAGGAGAAATTTCAGTTGTAAAGAATAATTTGAATGAAATAATGCAAAATGGAGATGTTTCATACGCATCGGATGATTCCATCGAGTCTACTCCACTAATTCCTGGTGTATATCGACTTCGTTTACGTGCTTCAGATATGGGACATCCTGAACAGTCTACAGAAACTTGGCTTCAAGTAAGTTAAAGATTGATTTAATTGATATTTTGCAGTTATTTAAACTATCAGTCAAATCCATATAGAATAGATAAAATCTGGCTATTAATGGGGATGTATGTACCCTACATCTCACAGTTGATGTTCACTCCAGAACTCGAAACCAGAACTGTTTGAAAATGGACCACCTATTGATAAATAATATTAAAATGTAACAATGATACCATTGGTTATTTACTTACATTTACAAATTAATTTTCAATCTGTGAGTTGTCATGTTAAACTAAATTTATGGAAAATATCCATTAGTGTTCAGAAATGAAATCACCATCTGTAAATTTCCTACAAACTACTGACTATTAATTAGTTCTGCTGTTCCATAATTCAGATTTTCAGCCTCAATCATAGTGTTACTTCATTGTAACAGTCATTCAATCTTGTTGGTGAACTATATACTGTTTTAGTGTCGATTTCTGTAACGACACTGATAGTAGCTTTCCTGTAATTGTCTCTTGAAAATCCATCTCAAAACCAATTCCTAATCAAATTTCAAATTTCTCCAATAAACATAAATATTTTCTCTGGAATAACTAAGGGAGTTCAATCAGTGTGACAATTATCTATCACAGACAATATGTAAACGGTTGTGCGAGATCATGGGTTGATTGAGGTAAGACGTTAACTCCACTGGATTCCGGCTCAGTAATCAAGAAACCTAAAGTACTGGGTTAGATTCTCGTGTGCGGGGTTGTGGATGTACACTACTGATGAGTCTAATGTTTCCAGGTTTTCATTGATGGTCTAGATAAGATGATGGCCTTAGAATTTCAACTGTAATATTCATATAATCTCCACAAATCTCCACCTACTTTTGATTCTTTGTTTAAATTTAAGCTATCGATATAATGCATTCATTTTATTTTTCACCAACTGAATTCTTTTGTTTTCCATTCCTAAAATTACACCATCAATTATAATTGGAAATATGAACATAAATCAGTGGATAATTTGTTGTTGTTTTCTTTATCTCCTAATTAAAATAAACAATTTATGAATAAATTTATGAATAAATTGTCTAACTTATCAATTTGTCAACTGTTCAGCTTTGTTTATTTTAATCAATATGCATATATGTTTATCTAAAAAATATATAAAATCACATTACTACTAATGAGTATGACATAAATTATGTTTATTGTTATTTAGATAAACAACAATAAAATGATTGAATACAAATTAAATTAAAAATTAAGCATAATTCTAACAATTGATACTGATTCAAATTTTACTCGATAGCATTAATTCATGCGATAGTGATAGTTGATCATAAATAATGCCAACACCACTGCTGAACTGTATTCATCATTACCACACACACACACACACACACATACACATGGACTGAATGTACAGTTCATGATTTGTGCCAAACAAAACATTGATTTGTCATGCAATCTTTTTTTTTCTTAAATATGGGTTAACCAATGAATCGATCGTATATCATATTCATTTGGTCTACATGTGTATCGAATGTCTTCAAATTTTTATGCACTGATGATGACTGCATGTGTGTGTGTGTGTCTTTGTACACAGGTGTGCTAATAGATCAATTCGTTATTCAAGTACACTTCTGACTCATCCAGTGATTCCTTTTCTGAGTCTTTTGTTAGTCTATTATATATATATACTTATAAACGCATTCAACAGGTGTTTGAGTATCCGTAAAAAATGTTTAGAATTGATTGATTAATCATCAGAATAATCAAAGTGAATAAATTGGTGACTCGATCATAAAAACCATCACTTTATCTTAACTGAATAGATTCGAAAGAAGAAAGGGGAAACCAAGCAGACACTCAAAGTGACTCGAATGAATATTTATTCAAATGATTTATCATGCATAGAACTGAATGTCGAATAACTGATATTTTTGCAATCCTACTCATAACAATCTTTGCATACATTGATGTAATCATTATTTCGATAATTGTCAATTAAATGATGATATTTATTCATGAATTTGTTATTTTCTTTCTATTTAGATCAATGTATTTGGTTCAGATTCAATTACAAATGCCGGTTTAAATTTTATGATCATTATAGTGATGATTGTAATAACTGGTCTAATTTCAGTTTGTCTTGTGGTAGCTATTATTTGTGTTCGTAGACGATCTTCACTACAATGGAATCGATCACAAGCACATTCACAGGCGAATGGTTTTCGTCGAGGAAGAAGTGCAGGCGATGGAGCTGAAGGTTCAATGTTTCCATTGAAACATGAATATAATCATCCATTAGAGGGAACTGGTTATATGATGAGTATTAGTCCGACTCCTTCTGATTTGGATGCGCTTAAATTAGGATATCAATCTAATGGAGGTAATTATTTGGATAGTTTGCATTCAGCACCTGATATGAATCCTTATGGTTGGAATAATCCCAATTCCCCTCTTGGAGTATATTATTCTGCCAACTCAGGCGCAGATGGTATGAATACTACAAAAAATTATCCGTTTTGTCCTATTTCTATGGATCAAAATATCTCGAATCCAATGGGCACACTGCATTTGCCTTTATATACTCCAACTAATCAAGTTATTCCTACATTCCCAACTGAAACGGGAACTTTTATGCGTTATCCAACATACAATGTACAATCGCATTTAGTAGGAACATCGTCATGTTTAAACTTTTCTCCTTATTCACCAAATGGTACGGATCAAATTAGTGCACAAGCAAGTGCACAAACCAGTTTCGCAGAAGTACCAGGTGATTCAACTGTGAAAACAACAGTAACATCACCAACAGTCGGGCAAACATTACATGAATTAGGCGAAACAGAAATACACAACTTAGGCTCATGTAATTCAAAGAACACGTGTGAATGTGAACACAATGCTCTTTCGCCTCCAAGACAAATGTATACAGTAAGTAGCTGAATTGATTTTTTCATCAAGATAATTTTTATTAAACTTTGTTCACTTCTTTTGTGATCTTTTACATTTCTCATAAATTCACTTAATGTGATGTGTAAGATAGTACTAGAATTGGAAAAACTTTCTAATCATCCGGCTAATAGGTGTTTAAACGATAACAGAAATTGCTTCAATTAGGGCAATTTTGTTTAAGATTTTCCTTCAAATACGCATTTAATTTGTTTACCTACTGACATATGATAAATTATATTATCTCCAGTAATTTTTAACTATTTCCTACCAAGATTCTCTTAAATAATTGATGTAACGGGTTACACGAATTTGAATCGGTAATGTTACACCACAAGTCTAGTATATTTTTTGAGTCACATAAATGAACGAAAAATGCTCGCTTTTAATTACAAAATAAACAAGTTAGTTTAGGTGATCGACTTTTTTTTGTTGCTTAATTTGAAGAATGTGCATCCATCGCCTATTTCGAATAGCGATCTTAGTTGACTCAAAAGTTAGTTGGAAGAAAGCTAAGAGCCGCAAACTAATGTGTGTTTTGTTGTATTGCTAACTGCTGGCCTATATCACGTGACAAATACAAACACCAATCAAAATTGCGTTTTAGCTACAGAAACTGAGTCAACTATAAATCCTGATTGGTTCATTCTTTCTTGCCTCTTAGTCCAGAAGATCACAACCAGCCTCCACAAAATGTGTCGTAGTTCAAGCAGACACAGTTTATACACAAAACATACCAGATCATATCACATCATAGAATGAGGAAATATAATTTATACATGAACAAGCCATAAGCGGCTATAAATAAGGAAGTCTGTTTATAATCAACTGGCAAAAGATTGGAAATTGTTTGTCGTACGAAATTAGTTGATCAGGAGTTAATCACAAAGAAAATATAAATATGTAACAATTTTGTTATTTAATAATTATACAATGAGAATATATGTACAATAATAATAATAATAATAATAATAATAATAATAATAATAATAATAATAATAACAATAATAATAATAATAATAATCCTTTAGTTGGTTCTGGAAGTTACCATTCTTCTAATTTTCTTCCGGATACAATAAGTTTATGAAGTTGTTTCACCGAAAGGACTAAGCTATGTTGATCAATAAAGGCTGAGTTATTTTGGCATCTGTGCATTTATCGGAACTATTGTCTGAAGACTTTTAGTGATATGGTTCAGAATCAATCATAGTGATTTAAATATACTCAATGTTTATCTTTCTTCAGATATTAAGTGGTAAAATTATGAATTCATAATCTTATTTAGCTTATCTCAATCATTATTACTGTTACTCATAATATAAATTAACTTATTATTTATCTTCTTGATTCCTTCTCTCCACTTCGATTTCAAGCTCTATATATATACTGATTAACTAATAATAAGTATTATAATGTGAACTAGTAGTTTAACTATCAAAACACTCCATTCTCAACTATTCGATAGCTGATTTAAATCCTGGTGTGTCATTATTCTCGTACTACAAAGTGTAGTGAATTGAAAAACTTTAAAAATTTACAATATACATTTTACAATTCATCAATAGGATATGGGTTTTACAATTCATTTCCATTCAATTCTTTTACTTATTGCCTAAAGCTATCATAATTAAACCCATTCATATTTTCACAACTGAATTCTTTGCATTTTAGAACATTGATTAACCTTTGGCCTTTATGTTTTACGCACGACTAACCATTTTTAATGATAGTTTTTTCTTCCCTTCCCTTCTTTCTCTACTCAAGCGTATTAGAATATCCTTTGTTTAGGAAAATAAATAGAAAACAAAAATAGAATAAAATCAAGCTTACCATTATTTCCATGTTGAGATATTTCACTGATATATATATATATTATGTGTATTTTGTATATCTTTTAACATACAATAAATAAAGCATAAAGAGGATATTGTGAAGAATGCTTTAAATGTTAGAGACCGGATGTAATAATAATAATAATAATAATAATAATAATAATAATAATAATAAGGAAATTAATTTATTAAAATTCATTTTGTATAAAAAGAAATAATGTTTTTTTCTAACTAGGGAATAGAAAACCATTTTATTCTCAGATTCATTAAATATATATCTATATATCTATATATGTGATGCAGTTAAGTGATTAGATGAAATCAATCAAACTAGTTGTATATTTTTTGTTTAATGTGATTAATTTAGTGTAGCTTTTAAATGAATTGTCTCAAATGACTGACTATCAGTTAAGTTGTGACAAATGAAATTATTAAAGCATTGAAAACTAGTTTGTGTACTTAGTATTATTTACATGAATTGATTTCATCAACTTGATTCAATCACATATTCTGTCTAGATCTACAATTTTTACCAATGGTATTATTTCATTAGTAATAGTGTCATATTTGTTGAGTCCTTTCGTGATAATTGAATTTTGTTGATCAAGTTATAATGTGGCTACTAATTTCAGTGAGTCAGCATGGAAGCGGGCATTACGTTTAGATTTACGTACGGTGGACAGTGTACACTTTACAGAATTATAATTGCTAGCACATTTAGAACCAAAGCCTCCAAAATCTTTACTTCCCTTATGATTCTTTTGCATATTCGGACTTTCATGCTAATCATCAATTCATATTTATTATATTTAGGTCCTTGTATAAATAACGAATAAGTACCCATTTTTAATTCATTTCTCTAATCTACTAATAACTTAATGTTTAAATTCGTAAATCAGATATTGGCTAACACAATCGACTAGTAATTATTTCGATTAGTTAAAATGAATAATCAATGCCAGTAAGTTTTAGTTATTAGAACATTGAACTACTGTCTCATTTACTAATATTTAACAATTAATTAACCGAAAACGCATTAGTGCACTGTTTATTTAACATTCACCTAGGACAGTAATTATACAATGGTGTTCAGCTCTCTCTCTCTCTCTATATATATATATATATATATATATATATATATAAATATATATATACATTCTAAAAATTATGTAAAAGTATATAGTGCACTTTTACTAAATTTTTTACTGTCCAAACCTGCATTTGATTTGCGTTTCGTGTAATTTTTTTTAATACTACATACATGATACTGGTTCATTTGTAACACTATGCATATTACCGTCCAAGTTAATTTTATTTTCTACAAAAAATGACCGTGGATTTTTTAATTCATAGGTGACAAGAATTAATATTTTGATTATTGTACAGGTAAATATTTTAGCATTCATAGTTCTGAACAATTATGAGCAAATCTAATATTTATTAGAAATCTTGAACCGATCTAGGTCGGAACACCATTGTAAACGTGGGAATGCTGGACAGCTGTTTCGTCCTACTATGGAACTGCTCAGTAGTGAGCATCCACCAACCCATATTCAAGAATTGAACAAAGGACCTTCAGTCTCGCGTGCGAACACTTCACCTTTAAACCACTTTATGGGCGAGATTCAGCAGCGTTAATTTTCAACTTCTGTCAGTCCACGACATTGCATGATCATCTACGATTGTCTTTGGTGGGTAACTGTCGCACACGTAACACGGTGGAAATTCACCGGTCACGGCTTTTCATGTGGTATTTGTCATCAAAAGGTTCTGAAGGTTGTTGAACCTCTAAAACAAAACGGCTGTCGAATGTTTCCAGGTTTTCAATCATGATCTAACTTAAGCATGAAATAGACTAAATTCATATCTCACAAGCACCGTTTTGTTTTCAAATCACCGAATGATTCGCGTGTTTAACTTCAGCCAATTCATTGTTTACCATTGGTTATGTTTATCTGACACCCAACATACTTTAAGTCGGTTGGTTACAGCTTCTAACTAGAACTCCACATTTTATTTCTCGAAGCCTTCACTTACCAGGTAAGTATTTTGAAGTCCGAGTTCTCTCTGAGGCTTGTGAAAAACCGTGGATTGATCGGAGTTAGACATTTACACCGTTAGGCCCAGAGGTTAGGCGTTCACGAGAGAGACTGAAGGTCCTAGGTTCAAATCCTGCAAGCAGCAGAAGTCGTTTTTATTTAAGATTATTCTTTATTAACTGATAATGCTAACATCTTGGTTTACATTGATATTATTTAATATACAAGTAAATATCCATCAGTGTGGATTTTAAGTATTTCACAGTTTGTAGTGTACTTTCTCTCGATTCAATTGCAAATAACCATTCACTACTGATATCAGTTTTTTGTGTTTTTTTTTAATTGAAAAGTAAAATCTACTTCATTCTATCAAATTCTAACTTTGATTAAATTAAAATGTCATATATACATTTTGAATTTATTTTGGAATGTTTATTAAGGTTTGACATTTATGGTAGGTAGACAAGTGATGTTTTCATTTTATCCTAACATAGTTGGTGTTTAGCTTGTTAAACAAAACAACTATGCACTCTATATATATATATATATATATATATATATATATATATATATATATATATATATATATATATATATATATATATATATATATATATATATATATATATAAAGCTAAATTGTATATATGAATCAGTAAAGTATAAGAAGAATATTTCAGATAAATATTCTAAGGACAATATGACTAATTTGACATTTTGATTCTGGCGCCTATAATGATAATAATAATAATAATAATAATGGACAGGAAATTAGTTTGTTTATTTTAGTTAACTTGTTTATTTTCACTGTGATTTGTAATAAAAATGGTGGTTAAGATTATATGTTGTTAAGAGGGGCAAGAAAGGTTATTGGATCAAATTAATTTTCCTAAAAAATATGTGAAATTCCTATTCGGAAATAACAGGTTGTAATGTCGTTTGTTTTCGAAGGAGCTTTTCAATCTATTACTTTAGTGATTTTAGACAGTTTATATGTATTTCATTGAAATCATGAACCGATCAAAGCTAGTCCTCCATTGGAAATTTGGATATCCTTCACATCCGTTTCTTCCTAGTATGGGATTCGTGAGAAGTACACATCTACGACCCCA